TGGGTGCAGGCAGATTCCCATGTTTCCAGAGAGTCCCAGCAGCTGCCATATCCAGTCTCCTTTGACATCTAAATGGCCTACCTTCATATCTCCTATGCTGCCACATGACAGCTCCTCCATATTTCACAGTACTAACAGTCCAGTTGGAACACAGCAGATATGATGAGGAAATTGCCAAGAGGCCACCAAGCTCGGTGAGCAAAAACAAGAACACAAAAGACTCAGCCAGCACCAACCAGCTCAACAAATCTTTAGACAATGACTTGAGCACACCATTATGAGTTATAACAATTATCATAGCTTGACTTTTACTGGTTTATTTTTTGATTATCCTATTTTCCATTTCGTTATAAGAACAATATGAAGTGAATTTGCTTGTTCCTGCTAAGGAGGCAGGTTTGGAAGGTGGCAGGAAACTGGGAATATTGGTGAAGGGAAGGTCACACTGGTGGTGGGATTGGGGTTGGAACATTTAGTGCTAAATCCTGAAAGAACTATATTAAGAACTTTGTAAATCAGTGTTTAGCTTTAAAAAAAGAGCATTTCAAAAGAAAGCCAGTTTCTGGCTTGTGCTTAATAAACTGCCTTTATTGTTTCTTTTCTGAGCACATGATGGTTCCTGCCAAAGGTAGATCTGATTTGTAATAGTGTAGATGGGCTCAATATTTCTCTAGAGAGATATTTGACTGTCATGTTTTGATATACGGTAATGGTTACATAACTAAGTAAGGAAATTGTCCTACGAACATATTTTTGCCCTAAATTAGAAGGAAGTTTTTGTATTATATTTTTATTTCTTTGTAAAACCATTTTATTAAGGTACTGCCTTTATAATACTGTCAGTTATACTTTCCATGTTCCAATTGTTCCAATGCCCTACCCATCACCAAGGTGCCCGCTTTTCTCCATCAGTGTCTCAGGGGCCCTCACTTCCTACCAGATGACTCAGTTCTGTGACAAAATCCACAGTTCTGGTGCCTTTAGCCATTTGTTGTTCCTTTACTATCTTTCTTTGTATCCACATTGTTGTTTTTTTTTAATGTAGAGGTGGTGACCCCTACACACATAGATGATTAAAGCTAACTTCTGAAATTCCATAAAATTGTAAATCAATAAGTTGATCAAAAAATTTAAATTGTATATATTTATTTTCTTACAGGTATACAAGTTTTAAAAATTAACAGTATGAATAATCCTATGCTAATACATTTTAAAATTTACATGAAATAGAAAAACCCGACAGCTATACAATTTAGTATGAGGAAAGGAGAATTAAAAACACTTCAAGGACAGTCTAACAGGGAATGTTGGCTTTATTTGAAAATACTACAAATAATTCTTAAATGTTGCATTGATAAATAAAAGAAAGATTTCTATAGATATAAAGAAATCACCTGAATAGGCATAGAAAGACGATTTGCTACAAATGAAACAGTAATTCATTACTGAGAAAGGGTAAAATCCTTAGCAAGCTAGGAATACACAGACCTTTCTGAGTCTAGTAGAGGGTAGCAATAAGTGCTATGAGTGAATGCCATGCTCAGTGCCACAGTGTTAAGCAGTTCCTTTAATGCTTTTTGCAAAACTGGATTCAAGGCTTTGAATTCTGGCCTGGAGAGATAGTACAGCATAGGACATTTGACTTACATGGCCAGTCCGGGTTTGATCCCCTGCTTCTTATACGGTTCCCCAAGCACCACTAGGAGTAATTCCTGTGTGTAGAGCCAGGAGGGAACCCCTGAGCATCACCAGGTGTGACCCTAAAAGAAAAATAAAAACAAAAAACAAAAATGGCTAAGAATTTCCTGAGCTGTTTCCCTGAGCTGTTGCTAGAGATCAACACTGTATTTATACATTCATATATTCATATATATTCATACATATACATGTATATTCATATATACATATATTTATATATGTATATATGTATATTTATATATTCATATATATGCATTCATATACATTCATTCCTTCAAATCTGAATGATAATCTAGCTGGATAGAGTATTGTCAGTGAGGTGTTAATTTCATTGAGTTTTTTTTTTTTTTTTTTACTATATTCCACCATTCTCTTCTGGCTGTAGAGTTTCATTTGATAGATCTGCTGTGAATCTTATGGGCGTTCCTTTGTATGTAAGTTTCTTCATTGATCTTGCTGCTTTCAATACTCTGTCTCTGTCTTTGGCTTTTGTCATTCTGATTACAGTAATGTTTTTATGTGCTCGTTTTCTGTTATCTAAAAGATTTTTTAAAAAGCATATGAATGTAGGATTTTGTACTTTTGAGATTATAGTGCTGGTGTATATAGACAGTGGAATATGTCAAAACTTTACTAGAACTTCTTTGAAAGTGTTCTATTAAATATTTGAAGTCTAAAATGCATATTTGTTTGGAGGGGGTGGACATACCCCGGAGTGCTCAAGGTGTTCTCCGATTGTGTGCTCAGGGGACTGCATGTGATATGGGGGTTGAACTGGTGTGTGCCACTTATAAGGCAAGCACCTTAGCTCCTGGGCTGTCTCTTCAGACCCTTTTGGCTAGACTTTGATGCTGGACTCAATTGCATAAAACCACGTGGTTTTCAGTGCTGTCCCCCATAGATAGCCGTGTGGATCTTTCATACTCCTTTGTAGGTTCCACCTCTTTGCATTTGCTTATTTAACAATTGTTTGATTCATTGAATACTATATGCGGGAAGATTCTAGGGATTCTGTGCCCTTGCAAAGCTCATAAATAAGTTGAAGGGTTCACTTGTGAGAAAGAGAAAATTAGACAGATTAAGAAGTGCATGGTTCTCATGAATATGAATTAAATGTTCTCATATAAATTAAAGGGCAGGAAACAGGGAAAAGCCTTCATCTAAAGGTTGAGCAGCATTTTCACATATAAAATATCGGAACTGACCAATTCAGGTCAAGGGAAACATTGCCGAGGTCTCATCCCAGAAAGGAGCCTGGCAGGTTGGAGCAGACTCTGGGAGGTGTTAAGCTTCACCCCTGAAATTTTCTAGTATTATCAACTAGTGACAAATCAGTTAAAAATGAAAGGAGTGAAAAAGGGGTGAAAAAGAAAGGCAGCTTCTGGAACAGGTCTGTAGATAGAGTGACCATGGAATTTATGTTGATATTCAAGGATGTTCTTTTTCTCTTTGAGGCACCATGGTTTATATGATTTTTTTAAATAACAGATTTGGGCATTCAGTGTTCATTCTCTAAATCTACCACCAGTGTCACTTTTCCTCCACCAATGACCCAAGTATTCCTCCCTCTTCCTATCCTGCCTCCTTAGCGGACTTAAAAAATTTTGTCACGTATTAAAGTTTGGGTCACATGCTTACAATCGGGTTAACTCTGTGACTTTGGTGTATGTAGTTACCTCACCTTTAAGCCACCAAAATGCCTGGGACCAGTGCCTTGACCAATGTCCCTCAAGGATATTCTTGAGAGGAAATGGGCACTATCTGTAATGCTGGTACAGTGGCTATAAATAATAGAAGCTGGGCAGGTCAGGATGTTGGATCAATACTGAGATCAATTGGAAACCACTCCAGTAAGCTTGAAATTGTCTAGAAAATATGTTCTGAAGTGACAAGCTTGGTCACGTGTTCCTGTATTCTCACTTTCTTCACTCCTGCGCATAAGGCCACCAGGAAAATCTGTACCGAAACCACAGTATCACAGCCCCTTGCCGACTGAGCTGCAGCCTAGCGTTTTTCACACTGCCCTCTCAGATCGTTGGCGTCCATCTGAGTTAATGTGTTCTCAGAATAGAAGTCACAGGCGCATATAGGAAAGATAGCAATATTTAGCACATAAATTTTATCCCACAAGAGACTTTCCTGTAGCTCTTCTCATGGATGCCATGACCTAATTATATGTTTCCAGATGACTACCCTGCAAAAATGGGTGTGGTCCGTTTATCCCCATTTAAAGTAAACATGTTTTAAAAAACAATAATAAAGTAAACATGTTTTGTGAAGCACCATCACAAGACGCCATCACAGTTGGCCCCTCTGATGGATGATCCACAGAATAGGGTACCTAGAAGAGGCATTTCTGTAAGTTAACGGGAGTTGGTTTTGACCCCACAACTGGCACATCTGGGGCCTACTTTCTAATTCTGTACTTGAAGGATTAACCCTAGGACTGTTGGGGCACCCTGCAGTGCCAGTAATCAAACACTAGACGCTAGACGAACAAAGCATGTTCTAAACCATGTGAGCTCTCTCTCCAGCCCTAAAGAAATTATTTTTAGAGCCACAGAGATAGCTCATAGGGCTGGAGTAATGCTTTACATATGGCAGGCCGAGGTTTGATCCCTAGTGAACTCTGAGGAGGCTGGAGCAATAGCACAGTGGGTAGGGTGTTTACCTTGCACGCGGCCGACCTGGGTTCAATTCCTAGCATCCCATATGGTCCCCTGAGCACCGCGAGGAGTAATTCCTGAGTGCATGAGCCAGGAATAACTCCAGCGCATTGCCATGTGTGACCCAAAAAGCAAAAAAAAAAAAGCCTAGTGAACTCTGAATAACAAGCCAGGAGTAGCCCCTGAGTACTGCAAAGTGTGGACCCAAAACAAAAAACAGTAAAACACAAAAAGGATAGGCAAGAAAAACCGTACAGTGGATAAGGTGCTTACCTTGCAAACAGCCAAACTAGATTCAATCCCTGGCACTACATATGGACCCCAGAACACCACCAGCAGTGATCCCTTGAGCACAATTGGGTGTGGCCCAAAAAAAAAGGAAAGAAATGTTTTTACTTTTTTTTTTTTTAATAAAATAGGCTGTTTGGTGAAATCTGTATGGTAGATGTTAATGAAGCTTATTTCTTCCCCTCCTCTCTGCTACCCCTACTAATTCCTTCAGTTTACTAGAAAATGGGCCTCTTTGAATTATAATAATTAAATGTTTATATTGAGCCAAATACTGAAGATGGACATTTTTGAGATGTTTTTGCTATTTCTTTTCAACCTGCATTAATACTCTTTTTGTTTTACAAGCCAGGAAATGTGAAGAATTCACCAGGAAATAAGTAGAATACTCCATGCTCTGCCCATTTTAATCAGGTAAAGAATAAGAAAACTGGTCATGTTCAGCATTGTTAGAGCCAGCTGAAATGACATAACTTGTCTTTGAAATTAATTATAAAAATTTTATTTGATATGGAAAGATAAGAGTTCAGGTGATAGTTCATGACAGATCTTTAGTTTCTGAGCTTAAATATGTTTTGAGTTTTTTAGATAAGCTATAACTGAACCATTGGGATCTGTCTACAGATCTTCCAAACAATTAAAAAATGCCATTATTTCTTGCATTTTTTCGCATACTATTATAGTAAGCACACCTGTATTCATTTGTAGTCATTTAGCAAGCATTTGTTGAATGCAGTACTGGTGTAGAAAAGATCAAGATTGTATAGAGTTAATATTTTAAGTGACATGGAGAGTTCATAGGTATAATTATTGTTATTTTAAAGATTGAGTAGCCTAAGGAAGGCTAGCAAAATTTAAGGTGATATTAGATGGAGTTCACCATTCAGTTCACCATTTACTTTAATTCATTTGTTCATTGTGTACCTGCTAAGTACATACAGGTTTTATATTGCTATTATAATGTCACTTGATTTTCTGGTAATTAGAAGGTTATATGAATTTGAAGTCCAACCTACATATTCAATTATAGGAGCATGGTTTTATTTGTGATATATTCATAAAGAGGAGTATTAGCTTCAGTAGTTTTTAATTGCATGGGAGCATGTGCAAAATTATTATTAAATGAAAATGGGGGTAGTAAGAGTATGGATGATGTAAGTTGTTTTTTATCTATTTATAACTTTTTAATTTAGTTTTTCTATGAATATGAAATTTCTCTTTTTTTTTTCAGTTTCTTTCTAGGCACTTTGATTTACAGTAGTGCTAATAGTACTGAGTTTCAGGCATGCAATATTCTAACATCACACCATCAGTATTGCAGGGCTAGAGAGAGAGTACAGTGTTAAGGCACTTGCCTTGCAGGAGGCCAACCCAGGTTTGATTTCTGGCACTGCATGTGGTTCACTCAGCACCGCTCAGAGTAAGCACTGAGCATTGCTAGGTATGACCCTGGAACAAAACAACAGAATAGTGTCGCCAATATCTCAAGGATACCTCTCAGTCTCCCACCCTGCCCACTTGGCAGACTCAGTTTTGTAGTTCAGCTTTCACTTTGTTACCTGTCCAATTGTTTTTCCTCTTGCTGTGTTTCTTAATGTTCCACATATAAGAGCAATCATTCTATATGAATTTTTTCCTAATAAAAAATTTTAAATCCGTGTTATATTTCTTGTCAGTCATAGCTGCTATTTAAAGTCATGAAGGTCCTGGTTTTGAGGTTTTTCTTTATCAAGCTGTATCCACATATTTGGTGACCCAGAAGGTCATGTAAACTGAGAGGGGGCCTCTGACTCAACCCCCAGGTTCAGCTATTAATTCCCTGTAACCTCACCTCCATAAGGCCAATTATCCCACAGGGTAGCCATCTTTGAACAGTTCTGATGCTCAGAGAACGGTTTCTTACAAGAAGTAAAATAGGTCTCCTTGTGACATCTCTATCTGCAGTGGTCCTGTTCTCAGAGTCACAGAAAATTGATTCCTCTTTCACACCACAGCCCTTACTGATCTAAATCAGTAGTTTTCAAATTTTGTTACCAAACAGATTTCCCGAGGAGCTTGTTAAAAGGCAGAGACCTAGACCCCACCTACAGAAGTGTAGAGAATGGGCCAGATGTGCTGAGCAAAGGGACATTAGAGGCTGACTAGCCAGGAAGTAACACTGGACTGTGCTAGCTGTCTACCGAATAGGGTCCTGTTTCCCTGAAAAGACAGCAAGCCACGGAAACTAGGGTTCCACAGTAAGAAAGACGTACACTTCCTTCTTCAAAGACAGAGGCTAGAGTTCAGTTTACAGTATATACAAATTTGATCTTTCATTTCTTAGTTTCCTGGTCTTTGGGCCACCCCTGGCAGTACTCAGGGCTTACTCCTGGCTCGGTACTCAGGCGGGGCTTGGGGGACCATATGCCGTGCCATGAATGGAACCTGGGTTGACATACACCCTACCTTCTGCGCTATCTCTTTGGCCCCTCATTCTTTAATTTTTTAGTTTTTATTGAAGATGTAGTTTTTAATTATGAAATTGATGTACTTTTGTTTTCAGAATTTTTTTAAGATAAATATTTTGGGTAGTATGGAAGATCAAACCTAGGACCTGTTTATCTGTGCCAAGCATATCCTCTTTCACTAAGTTGTATTCCCTGGTCCCTAGTTAATTTTTCAGATTTTTTTTTGGTTTGGGGGCCACACCCAGCAGAACTCAGGGCTTATTCCTGACTCTGTGCTCAGGGATCACTTTTGGAGGGAATTGCAGGACACTTTGGGGTGCCAATGATTGATCTGAGTCAGCCGCAAGCAAGGCTTTACCTGCTGTACTCTCTCTCTCTCTCTCTCTGGCCCCCTCTAGATAAATATTCTTCAAATGCCTTTTATTATTTTTTTTAATTTGAGGCATTGTGATTTACAATACTGTTAATGATAGGGTTCATGATTCCAGCACTGCACCCTCTTGTCTGCCTCTCCCACCATAGTAGATGAAGATTTCTGGAGCTTATTCCTCTCTTCTTATGCCCTCTCCTCTTTCCCCAAAGGCAATTTCTGTTTATAGTTTGGTATATTAGTCCTGATTTTTTTCCCTTTGTAAATATGTGTGCCGTATATACAGGGTTGTTGTCAGTAGTGGGTGTTTTTGATCAAGAATGAGTTTCCCTGATGCTTCGCACATATGGTCAGGGCATATCGCTATTTTATTATCATACCTAAAGAAATTAACATTGATTTCTTTTTTACTTTTGTTTTTTCCTTTTCTTTCTTTTTTTTTTTGTTTTTGGGCCACACCTGGCTGTGTTCAGGGCTTACTTCTGGCTCTGTGCTCAGGGAGCCATATATGGTGCCAGGGATCAAACCTGGGTCAGCTGCTTGCAAGGCAAGTGCCTTATCCACTCTACAATCTCTCCAGCTCCAAAGCTTGCCCTACTCATCTCTTTAATGACTTTTCATAACTGGCTTGCTGAAATTAGGATCCATACAAGATCTTCTCATTGAATTTGTCTTCTAGCTACATTGAAGTCCCTTTTAGACTGTAATAGTTTTCTTTCCCTTATGATTCTCTTGGTATTGGTTTGTTGAAAAACTTGATCATTTAGAAATTTCCTTTCAGGCTGTGACTGAATATGTTCAGTCAGTGTCATTTTGTTTCACTCTTGGTTCCTCTCTCACCTGCATTTTCCATAAACTGATAGTTGGATCTGAACATTTTATTAAACTTAGATTCAAAACTTTTTACTGAGAATTCTTGTTGCTCTATGTTGAACAAGTAAATTAAATTGCTTTTTTTATTTAATAGATTTTGCTTTCTCTGTCAGTAGTTACAGATCTACCACATGGACTGCCATGATCTGTTGAATCCTTATTAATATAAGTTATTTCCTTTCTGTAATTTGTGACAATGCAGTAGATCATTTAAATTCTTATATCAATCCAAAAGTGATTATAAAGTTGAAAAGGTAAGTTAGTGGTTATGTGTTTTAATTTTATATATTAAAAGTTCAAGTGAGTAACCACTAGTTGTAGTCGTCTGTTTGTATAGCAGTAGGAAGAAAGCGACCTGGAGAAGACAGTTTATCTTCATTATGCCTTTGGATTGATGTGCGTTTCTTTCTAGAAAACAACGTTGGTATGGGATGAAAATTTATGCTCTCCAGGGATGGATAAAAATCTAATTGTTTGGTTTTCAGAAAGGGAGAGATACAGTGTGTGCTTTCCATTTAGACATTTATTTTTGTTTATTCATCCATCTGTCTGTTCAACTGTGCTCAGATATACAGCCAGTGTAGATTTTTGAATATGGCATTGGTAGAATGTAAACCTTTTCTGGTGTTCTGTTTATCCATTTATAAAGTGAGGATGATTTGTTGGTTTGTTGTTTGAATTGTTATGATGCTCTCACAGTTGTGTAAAGGTAATTCAAATATTTACCATGGTTTCTCTGGTTGTCAAAATACAGATATTTATATTTTTTTCCTCTTGCACATTTATTTACATTTTTCTTTCTTTTAGTTTTAGGTAAACATTGGAAACTCCATACAGTAAACCAGTATTTCTACAGAAAATGGCAGAGATGTTAATATTGAATGTAGCAAATGGCGTTCTTCAGGAAAAACTTTACTAGTCCTCTTTGTTATCTTGGATGATGTCATCTAAGGGGACTAATTTAAAATCCTTTTACCAATACATAATGTACAAGCCTTAGAACTCCATGTTCTCATGTTGCTATTTATGTACTAATTAAAAAATCTAAGTTAAAAAATTGGCCCTTTTTCTTTTTTATATGCTTCAGTGATATTTGAAGCATATATGATTCTTACATGTGTGGTGTGTCGGTGGTGCATGTCTCTGGGTGTAACATGTATGTGTGGTGTGTATATATGCTAACGCTCTGACTCATCGGGTAATTTCAGCAGGCATTCTGCAAAGTCAAATCACCACAACAGAGTCGAGAAGAATGACTTTGGAGCTGAGAGATAGTGATTGAGTGACCAAACAACAAAATGACTCATAAGTAATACTTTGCCTGACACTGATTAGAAGCCATATCAAAGTAAACATTGACTGTGACACCTTGTCATATGCTCTCGCCTTCCAGCTTGTACAAATCTTCCAGTTCTTGAGTACCAGACAGAACTGTATAGTGTAGTCTCTGAACTCTGCCAAAGAATGAGTGGTATGTGGTTTCTGTGTTGGTTCACTGTATGTATGTGTTGTGTTCCTTTCTTGTGTGTGACTTCCATCTCATTAAACTTTATATTTGCATTGCTGATGGGAACAACAAGAACCACTTTGGATTTATTGGCCAGCTAGGAGAATAGAAAGGAATATTTGGCAAAAGAGAATCGCAATTTCTGGATTTCAGTCATATTTGGGAAATAGTAGTCAACTTAGTGTTCTTGTTACACCAACTTAATTCTTAATTGTTGACCTCCCAAGTTGATAGAAATGAGTAAGATGGAAATTCATAAAAGGAAACTGTATTTTAATATATTTGATAGAGCCAAAATAGCAAGAGCAGTGCCAGCACTGCTACCAGATTAATGAGCGGAGGCAGATTTCTTCCTAGAATAATATCCCTTGTCACCCAGAAGTCTACTGTTTCCTTTTATGTTCAGATACTTTTGAGGGGGCAGAGGGGATCTCCCAAGTGGTGCTCAGGAAACCTGGTGACCCAATCTGTGATTCTCAGCCAACCAGACCAGAGGTTCAATGCAAGGGTCCAAGTATACAATGATGTTTGGGTCCTATGGTGTTTGCGGAACCATGTGGTGCCATACTATGTCCCAGCCCTAAAATGCTCTTTCGTTACCAATCATCCAAATATATTAAAGCTGCACCTAAGAGTATGAGGTCATGACAGCCAAGTGTGCGACCCGATCATTTCAGCAACAGCAACCTCAAAGGAAAGGGAAGGGAAAATTTTAAATCTGTGCTTATGTTGAAGAATCTTATTTAAATATACTATTATCATCTCAGGCTTTCCCTATTAGCTTGGCTTTCTACATCACCTCCAGAAAAGAGATTTCGTACTTCCTTACTCTTGAAATTGTTTGTTCTAGAGAAGATGAAGAAATGGCCCATACCACTCTAGAGATCATAAATGAAAAAGTATTTGAGTTCTTCCTAACTCTAAGGTATTACTTGCCATTTTGAACCCTACAGTCAGCGTTGAAATGTTGACTGTAAACTCTCTGCCCCTTTGTGTGGGAGGGGGTCGAGGGGTTACAGAGGTGACTCCTATTATCTGGCTCATATTTAAGACAGCAAGAAATCTCCTAGGAAGTATAACTCATCTATCATTTGTTTCTTTATTGTTGTGGGGAATATACCTAGTGGTGCCCAGGGTCTGGGGTCCTCACTGTTTCTGGAGGGGCACACAGTGCTGGGGATCAAACGCAGGGCCTCACCCATCAAAGGCCTGTGCCCTACCATGTGAGCCACATCACTCATCATGCCCTTTACACTATGATCTTTTCCATGCTTAGGGGACATCATTCAAAGAAAAACAATGTTTGAGTGGAGCCAAACTCCTTAGATACATTATGGAACTTAAGAAACAAGAAGTATGTTTGAGGGGGCTGGAGCAATAACACAATGGATAGGGCGTTTGCCTTGCACGCGGCCAACCCGAGTTCGATTCCCAGCATCCCATATGGTCCCTTGAGCACCTCTGTGCATCACTGGGTGTGACCCAAAAAGCAAAAAAAAAGTATGTTTGAGATAACTTTAGAATCTTATTTTGAGTTTTATCAAGATACCATAACAAGGGCCTGGGGATGTAACTTAGTAATAGACCGATCGCCTTGCATGTATGAGGCCTTGGGTTCAGTCCCCAGCACCACCCAAAAATTAACAATGGCATTGTTAAGTAAAACCATCACCTTATGTTGTCATTAAAGTATGATAAATTAACACTTGACTTTGTGATACACTATGAAACAATTCTGTAAACAAACATGAAAATATGATCTTTTCTTTCTTGGTTGTTTGTATCTAGAGTTGCTTTCTTTTGATATTTGGTGCTTTTACTTTTTCGCATCTCCCGAGTAGTAGGGGGATGATTCTTGGCCAGTCAGACAGGTGGTTCAGAGCAAGGATCTAAGGATGAGGTCCTGCTCAGGCCTCTCAGGCACTGGGATTACCTGAGCCACCCCAGAAGTGTTGGGCTCTCTGGGGCCGCACCTGGCAGTGCATGGGAGTCTCTCCAAAGTTGCACCCAGCAATGCTTGGAGATCCCATGTGGTGCCAGGAATCAAACCCAGGCTAGGTGCATGCTAGGCATGTACCATCTCCCGTCCCCTCTGTTTATTTAACATGTTTTACGTACCTTCCATGATCTCTGAATGACAGGAAGTCTAAAATTTGCATACTATAATATCTTTTATTTTTCCAGCATTTTATGTTTTTCAAAATACTATTTATTTTTATTTTCAAGGTACAATTTTACATACTTACCTTTCTGGCTTTTCTCCATCAGTACATTTGTCCTGTTTTTTTTTTGTCACTCCCTAAGTAATGCTCTCTACTTCCTTTTATACTTTTTATTCTATCGTATAGGAGCTTTCACCTTTTAGTGAAACTATTACTCTCCATCCATTTGTAATTTAAGGGCCGGAGAGATAGTACAGAGGGTACAGCACTTGCCCTGTGCATGGCTGATCCTGGTTTCATCCCAGGCATCCTACATGGTCCCCCTAAGCCCGCCAGGAGTGATTCATGAGCAGAGAGCTAGAAGTAAGCCTTGAGCACTACTGGGTGTGGTGCAGAAGCAAAGTAAGTAACAACAAAACCCTAGTTGTAACTTAATCCATCTAATAACTTAATCAGCATATCTCTGAGTAACATTAGGGACTTTGAAGGGAACAAGGTCCACATACAGAGTGATACAATCTCCTTTGATCTCTTCGGAGGAGACAGACAACTGAAGTGGAGAAAATAATCCAAACAGGGAAGGATGTAAAATGGTATAATCTGTTCTCTGATAATGGCCTAGTTGAGTTCTGAAGAAAGATTGTTAAAAAGAGATTGAACTTCAAAGACAAAAAGGAATATGGGGCACTGAGGAATGCCTGCAGGAAATTTACTGGCTTTGTCACCCCTGGTACATCAAAATAATAGTAGATGGAAAACCAGGGCAGCTGGATGACTGCCCATGAGGGCAGTGGACTGTAGCAGATGCCTGGACAGCTAGGTCAGTAGTTTTTGTCTTCAGTGAAGCATTGGATTCCGGCCCAGTAGTGGCTCAGAGAATGCAAAACACTTTCCCTTATAGATTGGTAGTACTGCACGATTTGCTCGAGCAGGCCCAGTAATGTCTCCATTGTGAGACTTATTGTTACTGTGTTTGGCATGTTGAATACGTCATGGGTAGTAACATAAGCCAGTAGCCTAGTGAAAATTCAAACTAAAGGCAGAATACCTGTGTTTGCAAGCATAAGTGGAAAAACAATCCTGCTTGAGGTTAAATAGCAAATCAATGACAGTTCGGGAGAGGAGAGAGCAGGGTGGCAAGATGGACCGCGGAGAGGCTAGCAAGGGGGTTAGAGAAGAAAGTAGAAGAAGAATACAGGACCAAGCATGTGGGGAGAGAGAGCCCAGGCTGCGAGATGGAGCGGAGAGATGAGCGGGAGAGACAAAAGGAGACAGGAATGAGAGGCTCAGAGAGACTGGGGCAGGCGCGTGGGGAGAATGGAATAAACGGCATCTGATCAATCTACTGTCTTGGCCCTCGTTTCCTTCTTCCGTCTGCCCCATGGCCCGGGCCGCCCTGGCTGGGTGAGCGGCTCGGGCCCACCCCAAACGCTGGCGCCCCTGGGCTGCCCCACAAAGATTTTTTTACAGCTGGCATTCCTGGAGCGAGCATGAACTACCAACTAAAGGTTGCACATCTATGATTGCCAAGGATCCTGACCGGAGAATGGCGGGATTCCCCAACTGAAGTACTCCTGCCAGAAGTTGTGATGCTCCTGTTCCAGTGCTCCCCAACTGATCCAGTGCTTCCTGAAATTTATCGGGCTCCTAATAGCTGCTCCCCTGGGACTCATTGCTGCAACTGCTACTGATGCTGTTACAGGAACAACTCTTCAGTTTTGATCAGTTTTGACACTTCATGTCTTCAGAATGGGACTAATGACTCTCATCATTGGTGACTCTAATCACCCCTGGACAGTACAGGACAATTGGACGCTTTACTCAAGCTCTGCCCTAGGTCCAGGATTGGACTGAAATCTTAGTAGAACTAATGAGACTGTTTTGTGTTTGGAATTGTTCCTCTGTTTCAAATTTTGTGGTTTTGTAAAAAGAAAAAGGGGGATATGTAGGATAACACTGTTTTTGTCCTTCCTGCATAGCCTCAGGTAGTTTAGGTTTACTGGGTTGCTCCCGTCACAGTGCTCGCATTCCTCTGTGTTTATTTGTAACTTCTTTCTTTGTGCTCTGTTGACTTGTAAATGTTGTTTTTCTCTTCCCCCTAAGTCCTTTGCATAGTTTATTCAGAGCAATGTCCTTTTTGTATGGACACAAGAAGACATGCTTTTGTAATGTGACTCTCAGTGATATTTCCCTCCTGGGCATCTGTTCTCTCACCTAAGCCTCAGCTGCCTTTACTTCCTAGTGCCCCCAAAAGCAAGGTTCCGACGAGGGACTGGATGGAACCAGGGCAAGCAGTAAGCTATGTGCTACTCTGGCATCAAGATGGGCCTGGCCAAAGTGCCATAATGCTTAACTATGTTAAGAGCTTGGTCATGGACAAATGCTGTC